GAGAAAAGAGAGAAGGAAGATGCAAAGACACATGCGACAATGAGAGGGGAAGAAGGAAACTTAGTCGGCGACATGTCTCTGCCGATTATGACATGATGAGAGAAGAGAGAGAAAAAAGGAGACACATGCGGCACTAAGCTTCACCGACTATATTAAAAGAAGAAGAAAGAGAGGACACAGATGGCGCTAAGCCATCAACGGCTATGTTAGAAGAAGAGGAGAGATAAGACCCAGGCGACACTGAGTATTGTTGATCATGTTAGAAGAAGAGGAGAGATAAGACACAGGCAGTACTGAGTATCGCTGACCCTATTAGAAGAAGAAGAGAGATAAGACACAGACGACACTGAGTATCATCGGTTGTGTTTGGACAAAGAATAGAGAGGGGATACAGAAGGTGCTAAATATCACTGGCTATGTTTAGACAAAGAAGAGAGAGAGGACACAGACGATGCTAAGCATCATCGGCTTTGTTAAGAAGATATGTGAGAGAGGACACAAATAGCGTTAAGCATCATCGGCTATGTTAAGAACAGAGGAGAGAAAGGACACAAGCGACGCTGAACTTCATTAGCTATATTAGACAAAGAAGAGAGAGAGGACATAGACAACGCTAAGCATCGTCGGCTGTGTTAAGAAGAGAGGAGAGATAAGGACATAGACAACGCTAAGCATCATCGATTATGTTAAGAAGAGAGGAGAGAGAGGATAGAGATGAAAAGAAGCGAGAGGAAAGAGAGATAAAGATGAGAAGGGGAGAGAGAAAGAGGGAGGAGAGAGAAAGAGGGGAGGAGAGAGAAAGTTGCCTTACTGAGGGGTACCTGCTCTTTTCTTCTCTCTCCTCTCTCTCTCTCCAAGACTCACCCACGAACTCAAGCAAAAATTGAAACTTTATTGATTGATTAAAGAACTGAACCAAAGGCCCTTTTACAATGAAGCATGTTTATATGGAATTGGGCCCAAACATGGGTAGACGCCCAAAAATTACCTAAAATTGAAGATAATTAAAATTTAATTGAATTAAAAGAAATTCTAAAAATGGGTGTAAAAGGACTGTTTTGCCCCTATCTTACAATGTGTAAAATTCTAAAACAGTCCATGCCTGAGAACTTGCAAGATCTTCTATGACTGATCCAGGGTTGTTCTGATGCCCATTTGATTGAAAGATAAGTTTTTTATTGTAGGGATCGGCATGACGATCGATTTGATACCAATTTCAAGCCATGAATCATGTTTTTAAGCTATGATCATGAGACTTGAATTTATGATGAATCTTGAAAACTTTGGATCAATGTTAATTGAGGTTTTTATTTTTTTTTCTTTGCTGAATCGCGCTAAGCATGCCGTCACGATCACGTTGCAACAAGCACAGCTCGGTTTCGTGCCCGGATGAATCTTTAGTTTTTGGCCAAAATCTTGAAATCCGGTGGCCGAAATTTATAGCTTCTTTGATGCCTTCGTGTATGAAATCCAACCGTTCATTGTATGCGAGGTTCGGACCAAAGATAGCCACGGACCTTACGCACATAATACAATTAGTTTCATGTCGATCGGGTACGTGAGCACCATGATTTGACAGCTTGAGTGAGGCATGCTGCCGCTGAATTTTCTGTAATTTTCTTCACTAATCAGCAACTTCTTTCTAGTTTTTCTCCCTGCTCGAGCATCATCACGGCGCGTACCATATATCAAAAAGCTCGTCTTGATGAGACGAACACGCTCACCAAAGTTGAGTGCGATCCGACTCTGATCGAGTGGGATATAAGCCCCAAAAGTCACTGCCCGTGACTGTGAAAACAACCATCTTTAATTGTGTTTTGGTGTAGGGTGGCCACACAGGAATAGTGTGCGGCCTATCCCGTTTCGGTATTATACCCATAACTTTGTTCTAGAGTGCCCGATTAAGCCGAAACTTGACCCATGGGTGTTTTCAACCTTACTGGATCCAATGATGGTGGTCCTATAGTAATTTGATGTATCAAAAAATATAGCTCTAGTTACGGGGTCGATTTCAGGATGCAAGAGGCCAATTTTGCCGAAATTGTTTCTTTGTATTCACTGCCTTTGATATGTCGGAATATGACGAAACTTGACAAGTGAACTTTCGAAATGCTAATAAAGATCTCGACCAATTCTGGAGCCATTACGAGACTGTCAAAATTTCCACTGCTTTATAGGCTTTATGGACATGCTTCCTCTTTATTCCACATCAGGGACGAAGGTGCTGAAAAATACGTTCAAACAATAGAACTAGATTATGTGAAAAGGCAAAACAACAGTCCAAGAATAATCCCAAAACAAAATTTTAAACTACCTTTTAATTTTGGTTGTGGTTTTAATTTTCAAATTTGAGGTGAGGCCTAATTTTCTTTTCATAAAGCCTAGGGTATATAGAAATTACAATCTATATATATATATATATATATATATATAGCCACAGACACACACACACACAGAGGAAAAGTCTTCCCAACGTATATATACACACGCACATACACACACACATACACATAGGAAAAGTCTTCCTAACTCCTATAGGTAAAAATAAACAGTGATTTCGCTTACGCTCATCACCGTCCAAAGTTTATTGCACAATCATGATTGTCTGGTAGTATTTGTTTTTCTTTTTTTTTCTACAAATAGTAATGACCTGATATTTGGATTGTGTATAAATCTTAGTGACGCTCACCTAATAAAAATATGAAAAAATAATTCGCAATAAAGGCATTGATCAAAATACCTCTGAAACGTTTTGAAGGTATTTTTGTCAATTTGTTTTATGTAAAATATTTTTTTGATATTTTTTGTAGATTCGCCTATTTTTTATTAACACACGGTCCAAGTTTCTGGTCATTCCAATATATATATAAAAAAAAAAATTTAACACTACCGGGACAATCGTGACTGTACGATGAACTTTGGACGGTGATGAGGGTAGACGAAAACTGTTAGTAAAAAAATGCGTTACAAAATACAGTATTTCCAAAACTTGAAATTCATTTTTTTCCTCATGTCCATGCATCATGATGTCGAGCTGATCAATTTGAGAAATTTGGGCATCAAAACAAGCTCTTCTAGGGAGATTTTTGAGGTAGGCTCAAATTTGACTGTTTAGTGCCTCAGCTCTCTCTCTCTATATATATATATATATTAAAGGTCACACCCTCAGTGAAGCCATAATTCTCCATATCTTTTTGGACTACTGACAACCACATCCTTTTGGCCCAACTCCTTGCTCTTTTCAATCCTTCCGCTTAAACTAACTCGAATCTCCTAACAAGTGTTGAACTTGGTCAGTGCCGCGCATGGCCAGCCTACCTAAGTCTACTCTCTTTCATCTTATCGCTTATTTGTGCCACAAGTAAATATGGATTTATTTTGAAGTTTATCCCTTCTTGTCTTGCCACTCATATATTTCAACATCTTCATCTCCACTACATTCGTTCTATAGGTATATTATTTTTTATCCGCCGAACATTCCACCCTATAAAGCAAAGCTAGCCTCACATCGGATAATGATATTGACGGTTATGCTGTCATCAGATATTTCAAAACTGTAGTTAAAAACTGAGATGGGTTAAGCTATTTCTGGGCAGCTTTAGATTGCTATTGAAACTGAGATGGTTTTAAGCCATCTCTGGGCATCTAAACTGTTGTTGACACTAAGATGGTTTTAAGTCATCTAGATTTATCTCATTATGATGCAAAATAGGAAAAAGCAAACTTAAGTCATTTGCAAGACATACATACGTCCTAACAAACTAAGAACAAGTTTAAATGTTTGGGCGTGAATTTTAGGAGTGGCAATGAGCCGAACTTGGCGGCCCATTCCAGGGATGGTACATATGGGGTTGGCATAATCCCAACCAAGCCTAGATAAGGCGGAAGAGGCCCTGACTTTGTCTAGGTCAGGCTGGTGCCAGGCCATGTATAATCAAAGATGGAAATGAAATAAATATTAAAGGAAAGCCTGGCTAGGCGGGCATAGGCCGGGAGGGGTAGCCAAGCCAACCTTATTTTGGAATAGGGCAAGCCATAGGCCAGCCCGTCATTTGGGCTATTGTAGCCGAGTTCTAGCCAGAACCTCAGGGTACATTTTCTACCCCAGGCTCTAGTATTTTAGGGCTAGGTCAAGCCCGGTAAGCCCATTGCCAACCCTAATCAATCTTTTAGGTCACAATTCTATGATGAATAGCAAATTCTTCGTTTACCTGCTTATGGACTCGGGCTCTAGAATGAGTTGCTGACGTCCGTAAATTTTAGGGTTCAAATATTTATATATTGTGGGTTTACCTAGTTTTTGAGTTGAGGTATTGTCTTCCACATGCGACTAGGGCAAACAAAATCACCATGGCAACGGTGAATGGTCTAGGTAGCTCAGCCCGGCCCAAAAAAGTCGAAGTTTGGGTTGCAAAATGTGGACCAAGGGCGGCAACCATGAGGAAAGGGCCGGGCACAACCCAATTTTTTTTTTTGTTTCTTTTATTTTTTTTTCTAATTCCATTTAGCCCCACCAAGCTTAAGGCTATAACCGCGCCTGACTCTTTGGCCCGGTTGTGGACAGGCTGGGATTGGGCCTAAGCCTGTGCTACAGGGACTAGGGCAAGCTAGGGCCAGACCATCCAGCCCTAGATAAATTGTCCTTTTTTGGCCGTATCTTTCAACGGTTTAAAATGCTCCTTCTATCTTTCATAAAAAGCTTTTTTTTCGTACTTAAAAGGTTAAGGGACAGATTTTGTTATTTTCACTCACTTTTTCTTTTTTGCAACAGTACATTTCATGCCAGTTTTTATTAGTTCCTAAGAACTGATGAATGTTTGGCATCAGCCACTGTCCAATTTAGGACTTAATGGCCTCCATATAGCTCGCTATTACTATTTTAAGCATGCCATTTTTGTCTCTCCAACTAAATTTCTTCTTCTTGGTTACAAGAAGAAAGAGTGTCGAGGTTATTAAAGCGGCACACCATGCCCACTTCAATCACTATCCTTCAACAAAAGAGCAAGGAAAAAAAAAAAGGAAAAAATATTAAAGACATTTCAAAATGGTGTGCTTGTTATTACCTTCACTGACATGAGCATATATATTACAGGGCTTAAAAAGTCATTGCCAGCCGTTCATTCCGACGTTCCTCTTTCTCTCAATCTACTGTGAAGGCCCGTACATCGGTATTTTCATGTATGATGCTAGTCTGAATCTCTTTTCTTCTTTCTTCTTCATGACTCTCACCAAGAAGAAGAGCTCATCATCTCACTGAAGCAAAAGTACCGGCACAACTCTTCTTTACAGTAATCAGTAAGCCATTATTACGGTTTTACTTGTTGTTGACACTCGAACTCTATTCGCCTCATTATCTCTTCCTCCTCTGATCTTCACTTCCTCCTTCTTGCCGGTTTTCTTTCAACTCAAGTTTACTCATAAAAGACAGGAAGCCTGCCCTGAAAAGCTGTATTCGTTGATAAAGGATAGCATACAATTTCCGTTAAGCACGAATGGGCCATATTCTCCCTGAATTCTTCGATCCTGAGTTTAGTTCGACTGCGAGCTCCCCTGAAAACCTCTTTAGCATCCTTGAAGCCCTAGATAATGCACCGGAAACCTCTTTGGAGTTGCCTTTAAGGAATTTTGCTCTACCGGCTTTGAAAGAAGCAGTATCCTCATTGGAGAAGAAAGCAGTTTTCCGTTCTGATGTGTCAGAGTCTGAGACTGACACGGAGAAGGCACCGTGCCGTAAAAAGCTGAAGATGTCGGCAGCTAAAGGAACGGAAATGGAGGAAACGGCAGGAGAAGGGGGGCAAAGGATTTCACATATAACTGTGGAGAGGAATAGGAGGAAACAGATGAACGAGCACTTAACAGTGTTGCGATCTCTTATGCCTTGTTTCTATGTCAAAAGAGTAAGTTTCTCTCTTTCTTTGCTTCTTAAATTCTAGCCTTAAAAGTATTTGGAGTTTTTCCTTCTTTTGTATGTCTGGTTTCTATAGTTTTCTTGGGACCATCTTATACCATGATTTTGGAAATGGAGAGAGAGAGATAGCATTCACTTCTTTGGAGTCTCTCTCTCTCTCTAGAGTACATGTGTTGCATGAGAGAAGCATCTGATAGTCACCTGAGCTCTATGCATGGAATCTTGGAATGATTTACATATTTGGGAAACCTAGGGTCTAGCATGGTGTCCATAAGCACTAGGCTAATTACTCACACTCCAATGCCTTAATTGGACTTTACATTAATATTTTTGCTATTTATGTTTCTCCTGTTTCAACATATTGCTCATTGAGCTTTGCTGTTAGTCATCCTCATGGTTCTCTGAGCTGTGATCAGATATGGTGATAGTGCTTTGATCAATTAGGGTCAACTAAGTTTTTCTTGTTAAATTATTGACAGGGAGATCAGGCATCGGTGATAGGAGGAGTAGTGGACTACATCAATGAACTCCAACAAGTTCTTCAAAGTCTAGAGGCCAGAAAACAGAGAAAAGTTTACAGTGAAGTCCTGAGCCCAATGCCAGCCTCAAGTCCTAGACCAGCCCTTAGTCCTCGCATACCCATTAGCCCAAGAACTCCTCAACCTTCAAGTCCATACAGGACTAGGGTTATTACACCACCCTATCTCTCTCCTTCGTCCTCCCATGAAATGCCTCCTACATTGGAAAATGTATCAGAGCTTGCTGCTAACTCGAAATCGCCGGTTGCCGATGTTGAGGTGAAATTCTCGGGGGCAAATGTCCTCCTAAAGACGGTATCACACAGGATTCCTGGCCAAGTTCTAAAGATTATCACCGCCTTGGAAGATCTCTCCCTGGAAATACTGCACCTAAGTATCAACACGATAGAGGAGACCATGCTCAACTCTTTTACAATTAAGGTGAGTTTTTGTTTCTTATCAAAATTCTACTGGGGACTCCTGTTTGGGATATGTGGTAGACATCCTGATCTTCCGGTTGGAGTTCAAGTGTTCGACAACCCATGAAGTTTGTCCCTAGAAAGCCAACAAGTTAACTTACCCCTTCTCTTTTCTTCTCTTTTTTCATCAGTCTCTTTTCTTCTCTTTTTTCATAAATCTATAATATTTGATTAAAAACAGCATTAGAATTGACTCCATTGCCCTTTTCTGTTCTATAAGTTGTTTTTGAGTTAAAGGACCTTTTAATTAGAATACGTTTTTATCTATATTCCTAACTCATATGTATAAAGTCCCAGATCCTTGTTCAATAAGAAGGGAACTGATCTTCCATATGCAGAAATGCGAGCCTCTTAATAAATCTATTTTTGAGAT